TCTTAGACCTATATCAGGGGTGTATAATATTAGAGTTATATCAGGGGTGTATAATATTAGAGTTATATCAGGGGTGTATAATATTAGACGTATATCAGGGGTGTATAATATTAGACCTATATCAGGGGTGTATAATATTAGAGTTATATCAGGGGTGTATAATATTAGAGTTATATCAGGGGTGTATAATATTAGAGTTATATCAGGGGTGTATAATCTTAGACCTATATCAGGGGTGTATAATATTAGAGTTATATCAGGAGTGTATAATATTAGACCTATATCAGGGGTGTATAATATTAGAGTTATATCAGGGGTGTATAATATTAGAGTTATATCAGGGGTGTATAATATTAGACGTATATCAGGGGTGTATAATATTAGAGTTATATCAGGGGTGTATAATATTAGAGTTATATCAGGGGTGTATAATATTAGACGTATATTAGGGGTGTATAATATTAGAGTTATATCAGGGGTGTATAATATTAGACGTATATCAGGGGTGTATAATATTAGACCTATATCAGGGGTGTATAATATTAGAGTTATATCAGGGGTGTATAATATTAGACGTATATCAGGGGTGTATAATATTAGAGTTATATCAGGGGTGTATAATATTAGACGTATATCAGGGGTGTATAATATTAGACGTATATCAGGGGTGTATAATATTAGACCTATATCAGGGGTGTATAATATTAGACGTATATCAGGGGTGTATAATATTAGACCTGTATCAGGGGTGTATAATATTAGACGTATATCAGGGGTGTATAATATTAGACGTATATCAGGGGTGTATAATATTAGACGTATATCAGGAGTGCATAATCTTAGAGTTATATCAGGGGTGTATAATATTAGATGTATATCAGGGGTGTATAATATTAGACGTATATCAGGAGTGTATAATATTAGACGTATATCAGAGTGTATAATATTAGAGTTATATCAGGGGTGTATAATATTAGACGTATATCAGGTGTGTATAATATTAGACGTATATCAGGAGTGTATAATATTAGATGTATATCAGGGTGTATAATATTAGACGTATATCAGGGGTGTATTATATTAGACGTATATCAGGGGTGTATAATATTAGACCTATATCAGGGGTGTATAATATTAGAGTTATATCAGGGGTGTATAATATTAGAGTTATATCAGGGGTGTATAATATTAGACGTATATCAGGGGTGTATAATATTAGAGTTATATCAGGGGTGTATAATATTAGAGTTATATCAGGGGTGTATAATATTAGACGTATATTAGGGGTGTATAATATTAGACGTATATCAGGGGTGTATAATATTAGACGTATATCAGGGGTGTATAATATTAGACCTATATCAGGGGTGTATAATATTAGACGTATATCAGGGGTGTATAATATTAGACCTGTATCAGGGGTGTATAATATTAGACGTATATCAGGGGTGTATAATATTAGACGTATATCAGGGGTGTATAATATTAGACGTATATCAGGGGTGTATAATATTAGACCTATATCAGGGGTGTATAATATTAGACGTATATCAGGGGTGTATAATATTAGACCTGTATCAGGGGTGTATAATATTAGACGTATATCAGGGGTGTATAATATTAGACGTATATCAGGGGTGTATAATATTAGACGTATATCAGGAGTGCATAATCTTAGAGTTATATCAGGGGTGTATAATATTAGATGTATATCAGGGGTGTATAATATTAGACGTATATCAGGAGTGTATAATATTAGACGTATATCAGAGTGTATAATATTAGAGTTATATCAGGGGTGTATAATATTAGACGTATATCAGGTGTGTATAATATTAGACGTATATCAGGAGTGTATAATATTAGATGTATATCAGGGTGTATAATATTAGACGTATATCAGGGGTGTATTATATTAGACGTATATCAGGGGTGTATAATATTAGACCTATATCAGGGGTGTATAATATTAGAGTTATATCAGGGGTGTATAATATTAGAGTTATATCAGGGGTGTATAATATTAGACGTATATCAGGGGTGTATAATATTAGAGTTATATCAGGGGTGTATAATATTAGAGTTATATCAGGGGTGTATAATATTAGACGTATATTAGGGGTGTATAATATTAGACGTATATCAGGGGTGTATAATATTAGACCTATATCAGGGGTGTATAATATTAGAGTTATATCAGGGGTGTATAATATTAGACGTATGTCAGGGGTGTATAATATTAGAGTTATATCAGGGTGTATAATATTAGACGTATATCAGGGTGTATAATATTAGACGTATATCAGGGGTGTATAATATTAGACCTATATCAGGGGTGTATAATATTAGACGTATATCAGGGGTGTATAATATTAGACCTGTATCAGGGGTGTATAATATTAGACGTATATCAGGGGTGTATAATATTAGACGTATATCAGGGGTGTATAATATTAGATGTATATCAGGGGTGTATAATATTAGACGTATATCAGGAGTG